TCCCCAAACTTGTGACAGATTTTATGGCAAAGAAATTTCCACTGGATCCGTTAATAACCAATGTTTTACCTTTTGAAAAGATAAATGAAGGTTTTGACCTGCTTCGCTCTGGAAAGAGGTAAATTTTCTCTTTCTGTTTATAGTAAGGGTTTGACTGACAGAGAATGGAAAGAGGATGGATGAATGAAAAAAGAAGCGCTGTGATTTTCCATCATTAGTTCAGTCTTTGCACATAGAACATATGAGACCCCATGTGGGACTTTAATTACAGTTGCTTAGTGCTTCCTATCTTGCTGAAGCCGAATTATGATGCTTTAGAGCAAATCTGAGTAGTTAGAGCCCTCTAGCTTCTGCATGCGGGCACACTCACTTTTTCTAGGAAAGTCACCTGTCACCAATCATAATGAGATTGTGGATTCAGTGAAGTCTCCATGTGACCTCTAAATGCTGACCACAAACAGGTGCTATCATTATACAGTAAGTCCTCAACTTACAAACATTTAGTTGTGAATTTTCACAGATACCACATTACTAGATGCAAACAACTCGCAGATGTAACTCAGGGGTCTGCTGGGTATTGTCACAGCTGTACAGTGTGATAGTGTACAGTAGAACAATGCAGTCAAGACTTACTGTATGTGTGTGTTTTTAATGCATTGTACACTTATGTCAAAGGTGTAGAAGACTCACTTCAGCAGATTTACAAATGAATCCAACTCACAATCATTCTCCTGAATAGAAAATCATAAGAAATGATACAGAATTTCACAAAACAAGTTGATAAAATTCAACAATGGTTATTGTACTGAATAATGTCTTCAAATTAGTTATAAAACTATTATATGAAACTAATTATGGAAATACATTTATATGTGTGTTTATACATGTTTAACTATTATCTATAACATCAAAATTGGAAATAGCCTAAAAGTCTAACATTAATGGAATTCTTAAATCCCAACCACACGTTAAAATTAGTGAAGGCATTTAAAATGATTTTATTACATTAAGAAATATAGTATTTTTTTAACTCAACATATTTTGCTAAGGATGAAGTTTCTTAGAGTTATACAAATCAACTTTATTTTCTAATTCTATAACTCTTTAAACATATCCACATCAAAGTTTTATTAAGCCTTTATCATAATCACAACTTTATGCAAAATATCACAAATTTCAGTAAGGATAATATAGAATATATACATGTCTAGGAAAAGATACACAAAATTTCAAGAAAGCATGAATAATGCAACGGTGGTGACCTCCAAATTGTAGTAGTTTCATTTTGAAAGAAATGACAACATTCTTTCATTTTTACACTGTTCTGTATTTTTAATTATTTGTATGTGTCATTTACGTCCAAGAACATGCAAGTAATACACATATAATATGCCTAATTCCAAAAATACTTTCCCATCCAGATGTGCCTTATAGAAAGGACATTATTTCCTATATAAATGTCATTTTCCAATGTTTCTGTAGATGAAGTTTCTAAGGGTCAGCCAGATAGTTCAGTGGACTAAAGTACTTGCTTACGCAGAGTGCAGCAGCTGGG